AACTCATACTTAATGCTAGGTTGTTCTTTAGGTAATTGTAAGTATGAAGTTTTAGTCTTTCAAGAGTTGGAGAAAGTTATAGAAGAGAGGGGCTTAAACTATTAAAGGAAAAAGGCCTTGGACACTGAAAAAAAGTTGGTAATTCTGGTTATCAGAAAAAATAATTATAAGAAATCTATTTCACACTATACAATTCATGTCTTAATTCAGTGTTTCACATATAGTCATTTGTATCTTTCATGGAAATGGTAAGAAATTTTTATAAACAGCTACAGGACTGTAATAAACTTCCCTCTGTGGATTGTCTCTATGCCACGCACTCTAATTCATCTGAAACCTGTAGGGAAGATATCATCATCTCTGTTTTGCATATGAGGAAGCTCAGCGTGGCTGTGTTTAATGGCTTCCCCAAGGATACAGTCATATAGGACCCATGTTAATGCCATAGCCTGTCCTGAAACTCTTCCCTTAGACTAGTGTGAACCTGTCCACTGCAGGTCTCCAAGACAGTTGCAGAGAACTTTAGATGATTTTCCTCAATCCTGAATTTGCTGGCAGAATTCCAACCTGGAGCAGGCTCCACCCTGCGTGTAGAGATCAGTTCTTTGCACCCCACTCTGTCCTGGTTGTGCATTAGCACTGCATTAGGAACCACTGGCATCTACTCGTGGAGTTTAGTATAGGACCAACAGAGGTATTTTTTTTTTTTTTTTTTATATTTATCAACAGAGGTATTTTCTGTCATTAAAAAAAAATTAGCAGAGCCATCAGACTTGACCCAGTCTGACTAAGTACAGTGAGAGAAGTTTTCTATACACTATTTCACGAGCACTGTCAGCATTGACCAGTCGTTGCTTTGGAGTAGAATGTGAGTTTGAGATCAGTGATCTCAGTAGCAGAGACAAAGGTTGCTTGTTTGGCAGTCGCTTGTCATCTCTCCAGTATGCACTCATCCATTTGTCACAATATTTTGTGGCGAGTTGTACAGGGAAGCTTAAGAAAAATGCTTTGCTCCTGTCTTGATGATAGAAAGCATTTCTCACTGCTGGTAGCATGGTGGTAACTTTTCATTCCTTCTGGCAGTTTTTAAAGACTTATTTGACTTTGGGGGAACCTGCGGTATATCTTTAAGTCACAGTTCAAAAGTATAAGACAGGGTTGCTCATTTTCAATTTTGGCTGAAAAGTCTTAACTTTCACTGTGGCACTTCAAAGTTAGAGAAAACTTGGTTTTAAAAATGGATGCTGATATGAGATGGCATATTTAATGACAGATGTATCTATAGAAAGCTGTTAAGATGCAGATTATCCCCCCTGGGGTGGGGGAGGGAGATCAAAACTGCCAATCTATAAAATATACTCGATAGAGGAAGGCATGGAATCTATCTTTGCAAGTGCTTTGATTGCAGGGGACAGTATAGCAGCATGTGGCATCGTAACCCAGAGCAGACAAATCAGCTTGATGACTTTCAAAGCCAGGAATACTGCTGCAGGCAAGGGTACTCCAGTCTAGGAGAAATTAAAACATATAGAGACTGTTATTAATTCCATATCTATTTTTGTATAGTCAAATCTGTATGCAAATCCTTAGCATCTCATTTCAGCAGATTAATCTAAAAGTGAAGAGTGTTATGTGAAGGGAATGTAATGATAAAGCCCTGGAAATGAGTAACACTGCTAAAGAAATGTGGGCTGCAAACTTGGATGTTTTTTAAAATTTATTTTAGAATTGAGAGAAAAATGGTTTTTATTTACATGCTCATTTGTAAATTATTTCAAAGAGGAAAGCAATAAAACCAATTTCCAAGGTTTTTCTTTGCAATCCTGACTTGGCAAAAGTTGCAGCACTAGGTGTGTGAGGCACCTCCTGTGGTTTAACATTCTAAAGGCAATCTATTAATACCAAATAACTGGGACTTTAATTTTTACTCCCAACTAGTAACCTAATATCTCATTTCTAAACATTGTGATGTGAATGAACATTTGTATGTAAGGGTAAAGAATCTAATTACTGAGTGCAGATTAAGACAAAAATGTATTATAGATGCATTTGTGGAAGATAGTAAATAATAATTCTGAAAAGCATGGAGATAAATTGTATGCCCTGCTTGGGAGAGGGGATGTAATAGCTACATTTTAATCCATTGGTTGTACGTTTAATCTATAATGGGCAGAGTCTGGTACATACAGTAATGTAAATATTTTCAAATAGTGTCATAAAGCAGATAGTTTACTGCAGTAGATATTAATTCTGTTCCATATTTCTAAAACAAGCAGAGAAACTTTTGAAGTTTTTAAATGATGGGTGGAGCTTTGCCCTCTGTTCCCTTTCAATTAGAGAAGTGATTGTAGGCAAGCTGGACATTAATCTGGTGGTTATGGCCCAGATCAAAAGCACCAGCAATTATTTTAACCATGAAGACTTGTGAAGTCTCAAGAGATTAAACTATTCTTGTGTGGTTATGCTGAGAAAGAATTATTGAACACTCTGTTTTTAATCACCCAAGAAAGGGAAGATTGGGAGTAAAGGCAAACACAACCCTATATTTATTTTGACACTCATCTTGACCATATAGGCATTTTAGCCTCAGCTTTCTTAAGTGTGTTTTCCTTTCCTCTGATTACATTTTTAAAATGAGACATTTGATGAGAAATCCAGAGAAGACTTTCTTTGAGGTCAGGAAGCTCATGTCTCTCTGTTCTTTGTGGATTTCTCTACAGACAAAGCTTTTGTTGATCTTTAAAATCTTAAATCTTCAAGCTTCTGAAAGAATTTTAAAAATAGTCCTCTAGTTAATAATAGTCAAAGTCAATTATATGAAAGATATAATCTCCTTACTGGGGTTGAGTGAGAGAGTAATGATTGGCCTGGATAGGTTCCTTCCTCTTTATTTATCCATTAGTTTTGATTGATTATTCCAGCGCAGTTAAGGATTAGACACTAATTCTCTGGATTCTCATTGACTTGTCTCCTAGCCATGTAGTTGATGGTGGTGACCTATTCAAAGTATTTGAACTGTCGAAGCAAAAAATGCACCAGATAAAGTTAAACAGAGAAAGAAGACTTTATTCAAGTCTATTGTAATAGGAGAGAGAATCAGAAAACAGTTTGAAATCAATTCTATTAGTTTTTAAGAGGACAGTTTTTAAGCATTGGGGTGATTTTGTAAAAAAGTACTGAAGAACATTTCAGGGGAGCTTGATTAATGGATATGTTGTACCCATGCAGTTATTTCTGAGTTGGTAATTTTTGTCTCTGTGATTAGGCCATCTGTGTTTGGTGCTAATTGGTGCCTATTAAAGTTAGGGTCCTCGGGAGGTGGAGGTTGCGGTGAGCTGAGGTCTTGCCATTGCACTCCAACTTAGGCAACAAGAGTGAGACTCCATCTAAAAAAGAAAAAAAAGTTAGGGTCCTACCTTCCCATAGAAGCTGGGATATAGGGCACTATCTTCTTCAATGATTATATTTCAAAGGGATAGCTCTCTGGACCTTAACAAAGATATTCTTAGGTTATAAAACTGGCAAGCAGCTTTTTAAAATGATTTACATCTCAAAGAGGCAGAGAAAGAAGTTATGATTACAAGTTTTCTAAAGTAAGTAATCTAAGAAAGGGGAGGTCAAGGGCCCCAGAGTCAGGAAGCAGCCTTTTTAGTTTAGTCAAGCTAGGGAAATGCTAAGGCCACCTTGGTCAGTATTTTAACAGTATATGTATATTTTTTAAATTAAAAAAATTCCAGTAGGAAACTTTTTTTAGTCTGGCTTAATTTTATATTGTTATTGAAAAAATAGCTGCTTGTGATACATATTAAAATAATAATGTTATTCATTTTATACCAGTGTCTAGAACTACATATAAGGCAGTATTTCTAAAGATAGATTTCTTTGGTCCCATATCCTTGATATTTTATCTCACATTTAATATCTACTGGTGATATTTCCTTACTATGCTGTTTTATGTATTGTTTTTAGAGTTTTTCCACTTAATGGTAAAACTGAAAGCAAAACTAATAATTTCTGGGTTTTACAGGGCTCAGTATACACTACAAAAATGAAAAGAAGTATGAGGACAAATAAGAGAAACTTAGCTGGAAGTATGATGATTTTTTAGTGGTTCTTATTAGGTAGGTCTGAAGTCTCTTAGATCTAAGCAGTTGTCTAGAGGGCTTCAAAAGTCAACCACAATAGCAGCTGCACTGAAGAGCCCTAGATTTGTGCTGCCCAATGTGGTAGCCATTAGCCACATGTGGCTTATTGAATCCTTGGAAAATGGCTGATCTGTATTGAGATGTGTTGTGTCAAGTATACACTGGCTTTTGAAGACTTAGTAAGAAAAAAAAGAATATAAAGTATCTTAATAATTTTTATGTTGATTTCATGTTGAAATGATAATTATGGCTATATTGGGGTACGCACAATTTATTACATTTAATGTCACTGTTTCTTTTTATGTTTTATATAGCTATTGAGAAATTTATCATTGCATATGTGACTTGCATATATGGCTCTCGTTATATTCTATTGGACAGCACTGGCTTTAGATATTTTTTGTTAAGTAATGTCAAAAGATATCAAGATATCACTGTGTTAGTGTACAGAGGTTAGAGCTTTAAAATTAACAATTTAGTGAAGGACAAGAATTTTCCATATAACTGTCCCTGGCATAAACAGTATAGAGATTTACCTATGTGTACTATGTTTGCTCTCACTCCCTAATACTTTGCCCCTTATCTGGCCATGCAAAACAGCTTGCCAGAATTGGGGTCCTCTTGGTAATGTCAGCATACTTGTTGCTTACTCTCAACTGGATTGCTTCTGAAATGTTTCTTTAAAATTAAACTGCTTCAACAATAGGCTTCTTAATTATGTCATGGGCTCTCCATGAGAGTATACAAATAGATCCTCAGCAGTAGCTAATTTTCCTTTAATTGTATCTCATTCTTATGTTGGAATATCTTATTCCTTATTCATGAAAACCTCTAACACATGTTAATCCATTACAGGTGGAGTAACTAATACGGCACAATATCAGAACAGGCTAATGGTATATGAACCTAACCAGGTAAGAATCATAATAAGAAAAGCTCATTACTTTAATTAAAATGAATTTTAAAAGATTCCAGGGTAATTAATAATTGGAATGCCAAGTCTACACACAGAGATATGCATCCTACATTTATATAGAGAAAAGGAAGCACCTGAATAAACTGCATTTTTGTTTTGTTATTCAAAAAATTTCAACTCTAGTTTTTGTGATTTTCATTGTCCTAATGCTATGTCCTTCTGGAAGGGGCTGCCATTCTAGGAGGGGATCATGGTTATGGTTTATTCTTAAAAAGCAAGTATTAACTTAATATAGCCCAAATGATCTAAACCACTATGTAGGACAAGTCTAAAGTAGAAGTATATGAAGAGTTTGAGAGATGAGAAGTGTCTGTAGAGTTTTCATCTAACAGCTAGGGCCTGAATGTGCATATTGATGGTGCCTGTACCTTCTTTTGTCTACTTCTCGTTTACACCCAAAGCCTGTTTCCCCCCGCCAAATAAATATTTTTATTCTCATTTCCATCTACAAAAATATGTATGAATCTTGGCAATTATCTGCTGAATTTTGCCATTTCTATGATTTGGGTAATGTAAATATGTTTTATTATGACAGTATTCCAAAATGATTTGTAGGTTTAATATTCATCAGCTGAAGGTAATGGGATAACAACAGGTTGGCTTTGGCAGTCTGGGTTGGGACTGGCCACCAAATCTATGTCCAGAGTGGACGGAGTGTATTTGGTATCTTTTTATTTTAGCAATTACTTGATTCTATATTTAATGAAGGCATTTTCCCCTTTACAAGTGTGTTTCCTGATGTCATTAGCAGCTGTAGATTTCAGAGACCAAATGTCCATGGGTCAGCTGTCTCAAGAGGGATAATTAATTGCAGTTGCTTGAGTTTGGTGCACACGTGGTTAAAGAGGAAGAAGGTGTTAACATTTCTCAAATGAGTTCTGTTTCATGTTTGTACACACATGCTCTTTTAAAAAATTCTGCTGGCATATTGCTTACGGTGGGTACTGGCAAACATCACATCTGCTTGCATCTTGTTCAGAATCTCAATAACTCTATCATTCAGCCCTGGTGCTTATTTCTCTTCTAGGCCTTTATGGAGAGTCGATAATGCCTGCCATCTGCCACAGAGCACATTGCTACCTGCCAACAGGCAGGCTGGGGTGACCTCTGCTTCCCCACCACTGATTAGTATTCACACGCTAGCTTATTAGGAATGACCCCACCAGGCCTCTCTGTTTCTTCGCCTTTGCAGCGGTTGGCGGCTCACCTGGCAGGCACTGCAGTGAAGGAAGCTAAAGATATAATCAGAGGATGCAGGCAGGCTTTGCAAACCAGATGGCATCCATAGTCTTGTGGCAGGGGACTGGACTGCTAATGCAAACATTGATTCCTAATACTGTAATGGGTTGTCTCATAGAAAATACCTAAGAAAAGCATCATCAGAGTTTTGAGTTAAATACATTCATGTGTAATGTATTATACATATTAGCAAATAGCTGAAAGGCAGGCTTGACTATTAAAGAAGACATTTGATTGGAAGAAAATTCTTATTACATGTTCAAATGGGGAACAGATGAATGCAAGCTTTTCAAGCTATACAAACCACTTCTTTTCTTGAGTGTATCTTTAAAAGAGAAATTAGAAATGAGCTAATCTATAGGCCTATTAGTGAATGGACCACTATTTATATAAAATGTTTATTGTTGTCTTTTGCTTCTTCCCTTACAGTTTTGTAAAATGGTGAAATTCTATGTATTCAAAACATCATATGACTTTTTCTGGCTGAAATCCAAATTTTTCTTGGCAAAAAGGAATCTGGGTTCTTCCTGTATGCTTTTAGTGTTTATGTAGAAAGAAAACTGTTAGGTTGGCCGGGCGCGGTGGCTCACGCTTGTAATCCCAGCACTTTGGGAGGCCGAGGTGGGCGGATCACGAGGTCAAGAGATCGAGGCCATTCTCGCCATGATGAAACCCTGTCTCTACTAAAAATAGAAAAATTAGCCGGGTGTGGTGGCACGCGCCTGTAATCCCAGCTACTTGGGAGGCTGAGGCGGAAGAATCACTTGAACCCAGGAGGCGGAGGTTGCAGTGAGCTGAGACTGCGCCACTGTGCTCCAGCCTGGCAACAGAGCAAGACTCCGTCTCAAAACAAACAAACAAACAAACAAAAACTGTTAGGTTTGTTTACCTGTTCATTACTGCTTTACTTACCTGTCCATTACTTAGCTGAGATTTAAAATTAAAGTCATATTTGGTCTTCATTTAATTTTACAGAGAGCCTTATTTTAAGAAAGGTTGGGCATACCCTTCTCATTACTGAAGGTGAACTAAAACCAAATATTGAAGGTTTCACCATTCCCTAAAGTTACATAAAACTTAGTCTTCTGGCTGGTTGCAGTGGCTTACGCCTGTAATCCCAGCATTTTGGAAGGCCGAGGTGGGTGGATCACCTGAGGTTAGGAGTTTGTGACCAGCCTGGCCAACATGGTGAAACCCCATCTCTACTGAAAATACAAAAATCAGCTGGGTGTGGTGGCACACATCTATAATTTCACCTACTCGGGAGATTGAGGCAGGAGAATCAGCTTGAACCAAGGAGGCGGAGGTTGCAGTTGAGTCGAGATTACGCCACTGCACTCCACCTGGGAGACAGAGTGAGACTCCGTCTCAAAACAAAAAACAAAAAAACCTTAATCTTCCACCAAAACAAATAAATGTGTGCCTAGAAATAACCTTTCCCAATTTGGCAAAAGATGTGACTGTTAAGATATTAAAGGAGGCTGATCAAAGGAAGTGTGGGTAGTTTGTTGCTGAACCAAATCTTAGCTCTTCCACTGATCTTAGGAGGTTAATTTTGGAAAGAACAGGAAAGCCATTAGCTTATCTAGGGGCCTCAGGTACCCAGTGATTATTATCACATAATTTTGAAAAAGTAAATATGTATTGAACATTTTTCATGTGCATTTTTCTAAGTGCTTTGCAGAATCAAACAATCATTGCACCACTGTATACAGTATACCTAGCCATGTGCTTTCACTCTTAATTAATTTGCATGAGTAAATTCTCTGAACTGGGTTAAACATCATGAAAATTTAAACGTTCCCCTTATAAAATTCAAAATGCACTGTAAAATGCAACACAAACTAGAGGAGATGCCATGTGTAGATCGCAAAGAAATAATTGGAATACGTGGCTCTTTTGTACTTGTTCTCATGTAAGAAGCCCATACCTTTCAGTGTATATAAACAACATTCAAACAGAATGTTGATCTACTGATAGATAAACATTAAGGTTCCCACTACGTATGAGGCACTCATTGCTGATTTCTGACATGGAGCTCTCCTACTAACAGAATGCACGTATGTTTCTTCTTTCAGAATAAGTGGATAAGCCGTAGCCCCATGCTACAGAGAAGGGTCTACCATTCCATGGCTGCTGTACAACGGAAGCTTTATGTTCTTGGAGGCAATGACCTAGACTACAATAATGACCGGATCCTTGTGCGTCATATAGATTCTTACAACATAGACACTGACCAGTGGACGCGTTGCAGTTTCAACCTGTTGACTGGCAAGTACCTTTGATTAAGTAAATCAGGAAAAGCAGATTCAAGAAGTCACCAAACTTGTTTTGTAGACATCTTTAGGGCATCACTAAATATTAAGTGCATAGTTGTAGAAGAACCTGCACTTATTAATCAGAAATGTGTGCATCATTTATGTTCTAACAAAACTGAACTCATTTAGGTAGCTGAGCATCTAGTTTCTCAGGGCCTACATTACTACCTTAAAGTACATCCTCATGTGGCTGAGAGGCATGTCAAGTCCATTATCATCAGTCAGGATTACCATGGAACTCTGGTACAAGTAGGAGGAACCAGACACTGAAAGAGTTAATAGATCTTTGCAGAAGGAATTTATTGTTTACTTCTCACCACTTTTAGTCTTATTTCTTATGAGTTCAGGAGTTTAGGAGCATGGTCTTCATTATTTGCCGCTGTCAAATATTGTTTCTGGGAGTATTCTCCTAGAAATGAAACCCTAAAGTAGTTCTGCGCACAGGAGTTAGCTGCATTTCTGGCCACAAATACCCATCCAAGTATTTACCACAGGGCAACATTAGGTATGGACCCTTCTCATCCCAAAAAAGAATGAAAGGAATGTGGTGAACAACTTACCCCTTACGTTTCTTTATGGAATGAATAACTTTTCCCCACTTGTCAACTTGCATTGTTAACATCCGCAAGTGATCAGATCCCTTCCAGGTCTACTCAAATAATTGGAAAAATCACAAACTGAAAATGGTCGGTTGGGTTAAAAGACATTTTGATATGCTGAGTATATGCAGGTGCTGCTGGGGGAGGCAACACTCGGGATCTAACAAGAGGTTTAAATGCTTGTATTGAGCTCCTATTTTTGCAAAATGATTTTTGAGGCCCACTTGACAAGGACTTAGAAACTCTAAGGCCCTCGACTCTGGATCTGTGATTCTGCCTGCTGTAAGATCCAGCTTATTTATTACCCCAGTCAATCCTGTGTCAGCCCATCAATAAAAGAGACTCTTTCACTTTCTGATGGCCTCCAGGGAAGAATATGTGGTAGTGAGTTATTCTGTCTTCCTTTTGAAATGGGAGGGGAAACGTTTCATCATTTTGGCGTATCAGTATCTAGGGATTATCCAGGCTGGTCCCAACTCAGGAACTTTAACATAATCTTTAAAATGTTGGATATGTAAAGAAAAGTAGGATAGCAAGTTAATCAATCTTTCCTGCCATTTGCCTTCATTTGGGCAATGCCAGGGGCATGGTTCTGCTTTATTGGCTTCTTCGGTTGCAACTTTACAAATATAAGCACTTGGCTAAAAGCATTTGTGGGTACTATAAGAGGTGCTTTTCATTTCTATAATATACCTTATTTTCACCACTGTAAATTAATGGCATGTGACGTAGTATACAATTCAGTTCTACATGGCTTACTATTGCTGTATTTAATGCTGTATTTACTAACTTGGCTGGCTAATAATTGTTTTGGCCTGGTTCTGACCCAACACAGATTCATTCTCTGAGAAATAGTGCTTAATTTTTTTGAGTACTGGGAGGCAGTGATTCGTTGCTGCAAAAATCCCATGGAATATACAAATGTGCCACAGGGGACAATTGTATCCCTCAGTGGCAAAAGGGTTAATTAAAATATGTAAGAAATGGATTTTTTTCTTTTTATTCAATTCTCTTTACTTTAGGCCAAAATGAATCTGGAGTTGCTGTCCATAATGGGAGAATATATTTAGTTGGTGGATATTCAATTTGGACAAATGAGCCTCTGGCTTGTATCCAGGTGAGTGGTTGAAGTTCCTTTTGAAGTTTGTTCGAGTGGTTCAGTGAGGTTACATTTTGCAATGCTGCTACTGAAGAAAGAGATATTTACATTTAGAAAGAGGCTTAACGTCCCTTTTTTTGTGCAACTAGTTCAGCTACTAAACTTCATCCTGTATCCTAAAAAGATGCCTAAATGATTGAGCCCTATTAAAAATAAAAATGGGATGATCTTTGAAAATATATGTAATATGTACTGGAAACTGGGGAACTGGTATAGCTTTCCCTTTCTCCCAAATCAAAACATTCTAAAAATATTTGGCAATAGTTCCTTCACATCCCCAAAGCTTTGCAAATACCTCCTTTCCACACCATTACCTTATTTTTTATGTTACAGTTCATTCATTCCTACAAATGCCACCTACAAAGGTGTTCTTCCTTCATGGCAGAGGCTGTTAGCAGTAGTGGTTTATGACTGGTCTGATAGGGACAGCCTCTGTCCCAAAGAATAGCCCTGGTGCATCAGCATATGAGCAGCCCAGGCTGGGCAAGTTGCCAGCTAGGCCTTTCAGAAGAGATTAGCCCTTGCTGATAGACACATTCAAAGTATTACTCCTATTATTATTTTACAGTTACTACCATAGTTTTCTCTTTTACATGTTCTCTGATAAAATATTGACATATATTAGCCCTGACCTTTCTTCCTCACCTCCAGAAAAGTATATCCTTCTAACTACTTTTATTATCTAATCTCATATTTATGGGAAGATTTTTAACAACTGCATCACTATCTTTAATAGTTGCAGAACAGCTCAATCTTTTTACTTCTTTTTCAGTCACATCTCATAAGGTATATATATATTTTCAAGAAACTTCCATGTTGTCTAAGTTTTCAGAATTGCTAGCATATAATTATTGTGTTACCCTTAGTTATAGCTCCCTTTACTTTCGTAATATTGCCTCTTCTTCTCTTGATTTGTCTTACCAGAGGTTTGCCTGGAGAATTTAAAGTACTTCTATTATTCATATAGATGAAGTTTAAAAAAAAAGTCAGCAAGGGTTGGGTAGATATGAAAAATATAATTAACAAGCTTGTCTGAATGGATATGAGTTCTGATTGAACAGTTGGAAAGAATATTTTTTTCTTAGCATACATGGAACGTTTACAAAACCAGTCAGATACCATAGGATTAAGAAAACTTCAGTTAAAAAAATTAAGTATCCTATAGTATTATATAACTCGAATACAGTGCAATTAAGTTAGAACTTAACAAAAAAATAAACCCCAGCCGGGTGTGGTGGCTCATGCCTGTAATCACAGCACTTTGGGCGGCTGAGGCGGGCAGATCACCTGAGGTCAGGAGTTTGAGACCAGCCTGACCAGCATGGAGAAACCCTGTCTCTACTAAAAATACAAAATTAGCTGGGCGGGTGGTGCATGCCTGTAACCCTAGCTACTGGGGAAGCTGAGGCAGGAGAATCACTTGACCCAGGAGGTGAAGGTTGTGGTGAGCTGAGATGGTGCCACTGCACTCCAGCTTGGGCAACAAGAGCGAAGCTTCATCTCAATAAATAAGTAAACAAACCCCTACATATCTGGAAATAATAAAACACATTGCTTATGGGTTAAAGAAGAAATCATAGTGGAACTTAAAGAAATTCCCAGAACTGTGATAATGAAAACAATACACAGCAAAGCTTGTGAGATATATATAGCTTCGTATGTTAGAAAAATGAACCAAAAAATAATCACAAAGAAAATAGGATAGAGATAATAAAGTTGAGAGAAAATTAATAAACCGGGAAACAATAATACAGGAGAAAAGAATTATCAAAGCCACACACACAAAGAGCCACATAAGACTTTAGAGGAGTTCACTGAAGACTGCCTTGTACTGGTTTCAGTCAGTTAATGGAAGGCTGACCTGCACTAGAGCTTAGTCCTATCTTTTGGATAACAACAAATGAGCAAACTTTTTCTCAAAGAGTGCTGCTGGTCTTCATCCAAGCATGTATTTGGTAGTCTTTCACAGTCTTCTAGGTTTCTTTTTACTTTTCACTTTTCAGAATTGGTAGAACCTAGAAGTGGGCAACAGTTCTCTACTGGAACACTGTTTTTAAGTGGCTTTGGGACCCTTCATTTGGGTCACTTGTACAATGGAAGTTTGAGTTTATTATGAAATAAGGTTGTAAATTTTAAATACATTTATGAGCATATTTCTACACTTTTAGTTATCAGATTAGCTCAAGGAATAGAAAATGGGTAGAAATCATAACATAATGAGGAAATAAAGAAAATGCCATACATACCAAGTTTAGGAGACCACAGTGCTGCCACAGTGCACTTTTTCCACATCTCCTATTTTATAATAGTCTTGAATGTTCACTTAAAAACAAAAATACTTCAAAGTCACATCTTTGGTTTTTTGTCACCAAATAATTTTTCTTTAGAATGATCACTAATCATATACACTAATTAACTCCTAATGACATTTGGCTGTTTTCAAACAAAACTAGCCACAAGAAGTGAAGACAGAAATAAATGCATATTTTAAACCACTGAGGATATTTGAGAGTACCCTCATGATTATGGTGATTCTCAAAGGAGATTCAATTATTTTTTAAATCAATGCATGTATTAGTGGAATAAGTTTTACCTCTGAGATTGTACAATAATATATTCTAATATGTTTGCTTTTAAATAAAAGTTACCATGATGGGTATTTCTGTGTTCCAGTAGCCACTTTGATGAATAGAATCAATTCTTTGGAAAATGCTGTTTATTCCTTTGGCTGGCACACTGGTCCTACAAAGTACAGACAAATTTGTTAAAAAAATTTTTTTTGAAACAGAGTCTTGCTCCGTCTCCTAGGCTGGAGTACAGTGGCACGATCTCTGCTCACTGCAAAGTTCTCCTCCTGGGTTACAGTGATTCTCCTGCCTCAGCCTCCCAAGTAGCTGGGATTGCAGGCATGCACCATGATTTCCAGCTAATTTTTTTGTATTTTTAGCAGAGACGAGGTTTCACCACGCTGCCCAGGCTGGTCTCAAACTCCTGACCTCGTGATTTGCCCACCTTGGCCTCCCAAAGTGCTGGGATTACAGGCGTGAACTACCACACTCAGCGGATTTATTTTTAAGAGCCTTTACTATTAATAGGTATTTACTATTAATAAGTATGCGTATAAGCATATGGATTATCACTTAAAGAGATGTTTGAAATAGAGACCTTCATGGACAGTAGACATATATCTTTCATTTTGGTTACTGACAGCTGGTTACAGGCTATATTATTCATTCTGAACTAAGGCTCAAATGTTTTTTATGTTATGGATGACTATAGAACTATTTGTTTCAATACACTAACAGTAATAAATTGATGGTTGGAGAGACTAGCTACATGTTCAAAAGTAGGCCACATCTTTGTTACTTAAAGAACACCAACAGAGGCAAGATAATGGGAGACTGGAATGGTATTTATGAGAAAATGCTTAACAATGGAAATTCGTAAGTATGTCAGTGGGTTTACAGAAGCATGGTGGGGAAAATCAAATGCAGACCAAAAATATAAAGGTTTAAATTTTTTGTGTCATCAATCACAAATCTACCTAATATTTGATCCAAGATTAATCCACAAATCATTAATCCAAGAGCAATGGCTGATTAGTACAAGTCAGACTTAAATAGTTCAGGGATTGTTCTATTAACATTCGGAAGGACTAAAGTCGTATTTTTGCTCTCAAAAGTGCCAACCAATGTCTCATTGAACTGTCCTTTCTGACCCTAATCCAAGTTCTTTTAATTGTGTATTGTAAGATTCAACCACAGTGGGATGAAGCATGTCAAATGTTGAAAAAGCATACTTTATTTCCTGCTACTAATCTGATTTAGCAGACTACTTATCCATCACAAGGACAATGCAGAGAAAAGCAGAGATGCTTTTAGACTGAGATTTGGACTTGTTAGTAATAAACACTCATGGAAAATACGGGAAATAGATTACTTGCAAAGGGTGTTATTTAGTGGGTGTATAAACTAATGTATGGCACAGAGGTTTGACTCTAATCTTGTGTGCCATGGATGACAAGTGGCACATAAAGGAGCAGCTGCATAAGCGTGCAAGTGATTAGTCTGTTTCTAGATCACCTCTACCGTTCTCTTCATTTACTATTATTTCTTTTTGGCTGAAGGATATAGTGCCAGCTTGGCACCACATTCTCCCAAATGCCTTCTTTCAGCCAGTTTACAGGGGGATGTTTTGGAGAAAAACTGCCAATGCTTCCTTTTCCCTTCTCAGATTAAATACATCTGCTTAACATATGCAGTCTCTGTTGGCCCAAGGAACCAGACAAAAGCTCTCTGGATGATTATTTCATTAATATTTTGCCTTCTAAAAATGTTTTAATTCAGGAGAGAGGGCACAAAATCCTTGCTCTTTCTGGTTTGCATCTTGAGCTCAAATATTGGCTCCATCACTTGCTGTGTGACCTTGAGAAAGTCACTTTTTTTTTTCCAGTTGCCAATTTTCTTCTTTATAAATTGAAGATAATACTTAGCCTTATAGAATTGTAGCAAATACTAAATGACCTCTGATTTACTTTCTTAATGAAATACTATCCAAAGCCCCACTGGGGTTTCCCTTTTCTCATGGGGTAAAGGAGTGATACCTGTCAAACTGATCTTGAAAGTTTCTCTAGGGAGTAAATGTATAAGAATAACCAAGAAAATTTTGAAAATAAATGAGGGAGTCTTGCCTTACCTAGTCAAAACAACTGTAAATGTGACACTGAAATACACTATATCAATTAACAGAACAGAGAAAAGGTTTGTATTTAGTATATGAGTTATTTTAAATTAGTAGTGACAGGGTATATTGTTCAATAAAGGGATTGGGACATCTAATCTCCACTTGGGGAGAAAATGGCTTGTAATTTTGATCTTCTATTCTAGGACTTAGTAATTTTCTCATTTGTGAGCATGGATCCCCAAATTTCAAGGGCCCATTTCCTGTAAAATAATACATTCTTGCAGTTATAGGCTTAAGATTTATCTATACAGGTGATAGATGAAGGCATGAGAGTGGACTAGATCATTAAAGGAGGATACTAACAGGCCTGTAATTGAAATATTGAGTAACACCTAAGTCCAGGATGCAGATGAAGGAAAAGTGATCCAAGGTGGAATACAATATGACAATGTTAGTGACAAACTTTTATTTTTAAAAACACCAAATCCAAGGGAGGCAAATGTTTGAGACCAGCCTGTGCAAAATGGTGAGAGCCCATCACTACAAAAAAATTTACAAATTAGCTAGACTTGGTGATGTGCACCTGTGATCCTGGCTATTCAGGAGCGTGAGACAGGAGGACTGCTTGAACCCAGGAGATCCAGGCTACAGTGAGCACCACTGCACTCCACCCTAGGTGACAAAGCAAGACCCTGTCTCAAAAATAAAAAACAACAAAAACAAAACTCCAGCATGAACAGGAAAGAACAGGGAAAAAACTTCCAGAATCAATCAACTGAACTTATTTTGAACTTGCTACTAAGCTGTGTTATATTCCATTACCTGCCAGACACTCAGCTAGATGTCATCAATTTTCACAACAAAGCTGCAAGGTCTTGTTTTCTTCATTTCACAGATGAGGATGTTTAAGCCAATATTATGACAGACTACTTACTAACTAGTTTGGGCAAGTTATTTAGCTTGTCTAAGGCAGTTTTCTTAAATGACGATAATGCTACTTACTGCGTAATTGTTCTGAAAATTAAATGTGTATAAATACATATGTATGTATATATGTACATCCAGAAACATATTAACATAGTATAGCATTTATTAGGAGCTTAATAAATATTTCTGGTACCATTCAAGCACGAAAAAGAATTCCTAAGATATGGTTATGGTGGCATAACTGAATTTAAATTCACAATTTCTTTTATGTATACACAGCTTTATTTTGAGCAGTCTTTGATGTACAGGCTTCTCTTCCTCTTTTGTAGGTACTGGATGTAAGCAGAGAAGGCAAAGAAGAAGTATTCTATGGGCCTACACTCCCTTTTGCTTCCAATGGAATAGCAGCATGCTTCCTTCCAGCTCCATATTTCACGTGCCCTAACCTTCAAACTCTTCAAGTGCCTCATCACAGGATTGGCACCATCTGAAAAGCCAATGCTCTCAACTATCATGAACAGGAGGAAAAACTTAGCCCTGACTGTTGGATACTGGGCATGAAAAGACTCAGTGCTCAATGCTTCCTTGTCTTGCTTTATAGGTCTTATATTCAGATAGATATAAGCAAAAAATGAACAATTTTCTAAAATACATTATTGAAAACTCTTGTCACCCTTCTCAGAGTATGTCCACATGCAATATGTGACTTTTATTGTGGTACAGCTTAGTGCCAACTTAAGGTACATTATGTTCCATGGGTCTTTAGAGCATTCTTTGTACACTTTTTCTAATCAGCACTGTCTGAAGACAACATAACACTGTTGTTAGGCAATTTATTTGACTAAATGGCATCAATGATCTTAAAAATATATATATTCTGTACTTAATCCCTTTATTATTTAAAGCTGGGCTTGAATTTAACATTATGCAGCCCTGCTCAGTAGAGACTCAGCATTATGACATAAATTTTTAAATGCCATATTTTATTCAAGGTGATACGAACAATAGACATACATCAGAACAGCAGTTGAAATACCCATATTTTTCACCTTGGTTACTCTCCTTGGGTCAGAACCTAACTTTACAATGCTTCAGTTTTCCCACCTTTTAAGAAGGATCATTACTGATTTCCATGTTAATTTAAAAAAAAAATCATGAGAATTAGGTGAATATTATGAAATACTTTGCCCAAGAAAAAGAAAAATGTTACTGAAATTACAAGGTGTTTTACTGTCTTTAGAACGTTGCAATTGAACAGGATTATTTTTAAAGTTTAAAAATTACTAGATAGAGCTTGGAAACATGTTATGGAATAAATGATACTGAAAAGAGTCTCTTTTGTGTGAAAGAGACACACAATTAGGAAATAGGGAGTTTACCAAAACCAAAGATATCTAAACTTGACTCTCCGATGTCTCATTTAAAATCATTTAGGGAAAAATGACATTTAAAGCTAAAAAATAATTTAGTAGTACTAATTATGGTAACATAAAGTGCTTTGACATAAATTTGAACCTAGAATTGGCAGTTCTAATAAAAGTTTTTCCACTTTGTTAAAGGTTATGTCAATCTTGAGTGCTTGTGGGATCCTTCTCCAACACCAATACATATTTTATTACTATCACTTTTAATAATGCATAAGAATTCTTTTTTAAGCTAGTTTCTTTTTGGGTTTGCTTTGTCTATAACAAAAAATAAATGAAACAACTTAACAATCACATTTGAAAACAAATTCAACAAGTATACTGTGAGTTTTTCTTTTTCCTAACTTCCTCAGGACCTAGGTCATCTTTATTAAAAGGAAGAATTCACTCTTTTTTTCCTTGGCAGTTTAATCATTCAGCAATCCCTCTCTTAAAATAAATTGTTATTTTATTCATGTAACCATTTTTTGTAATCAAAAGTGAATAAAAAGATCTTTTTGTCTTAAATACAGAATTCACTAACTTCATATATTGATATATATAAAACATTGAAAAAAAATATGACCTTTGGTTACTCAGATTCAAGGGGCAGGAAGGAGACTAAGGAGAAGGAAAATAGGTACATTAATAAAAATTGGAATTTAGTGTAGACAAAAATCTTAAGAGTATTTGGATAGTTCTGAACAGTGAAAATTGATATTGACCATTGATATTTAGAATGAAGACAGCTTCTTTAAATGGTATAAGCCACCTAAACTAAATTTTAAAAATGCCTTACCAAGGCAGAAAAATGGACTCCAGTATTTCAGAAATCTTTTCAACAAGGACTTAAGAATTAAGCTATACTAATTTTTCTACTTGGGACATGAATTTTCTCTCTAGCAGTTTTACCTAATACTATTAAAATCTATTTGTATTCCCAGGCCCTATATCCAATCAATGAAAGGGAAATGCTCTAAAAATAAGCTTACCCAACTAATAATGGAAAGGCAGCCTGAGACTACCCTTCATTATTTCTGTATATATTTCCAACTGTTTATATAAAACAAATCAACATATGTTATCAAACCCCTCCTAGGTGATCTTTATAATGTAATATTCAGTAATATTACAGAGCTAAACTCAGAATTTGAAAAAGTTTTACAAGGTTCAGACATACTCTTTACAGCTATAGCGAAAAGTAGTACAAAAAAAAAAAAAAAAACAACATCCCTTCCCTAAAAAGAAAAAACCCCAGATAACTTATAATTAGATCCTTTTATTCAAAGTTATCAATAATAGAAATAAGAATTCTATTAAACTATGTCTGGTCATATGAACCAAATTTCACCAAAACTATTCAAATATGTATACATTTTCTATTTAAGTGAACTACCCTATAGTTATTCATCTTCCATTTCCATTTTTACTCTTCAAAATTAAAGGCTAAATTGTATTTGTAATGTAAATTATTATATTAATGTGAATTTTTATAGGAAGGCCATGAGACTTCCAAACACTTAAATATCAGTATTTTACTTTAAAAGAGAAAACAAAACACAGTACCACATAGATGATAACAGATATTCTTGCTGTAGAAGAAAACGCCAGCAAAGATGTGAATTTCTAAAATAATCTTTACAATGCAATAACACATCTTAGATCCTTAATAAAATACCAATTAGGTAATAATTAGGATATTTTTCATACTTTTTCCTTCATATTTTCTTCATACCTTAACCACATGTATATCATATCTCTTTCGGCTACAATATCTGAAAACTAACTTTCTATAGTTTTACCACAAAGTGCAAAAACATCTGTATTAAGATAGAAATTATTCCTTTACCAGAAGTTATTCCTTCTGGTAACATGACTCATTTTTACCTTGGCTTCCAAATAGTGACTCTGATATTAAAAAAAAGTTCAGTAATCAAGGGCACAATGTAAGTTAAATATATACTTTTATTATCATATATAATCTTTATCATATGCACAAATAACTCATAAATATGTGTATAAAATTAAACTGTCCACAATTTTTCTAAAAGCACAATTCATAAATGCAATAAAAATTGGATCGCCATTGGTACACCAAAAATTTTACTAAGTAGAAACTGGTCAATTACAATCATTTGGTAATTTACAATGCAGGCTATCACAATATCAAAATAAAATTTAAATTTGTGAAGAATATGCTATGCTTCCCAAACCAGTATTGTTTCTAACCAAATAAAGCATATTATTTATATTGGCATACTATACTCTTGCTTGATAAGGCAATATTTTTAACTCTAAGAGGGGTAGGCAAAAGATCAGTTTTTGGAAAATATAAAATTTATATTAAAAGTCTGAATAAAAAGCAGTGATTTAGTACAGATGATTCAACTTTTGGTAAGGTTTCTGTATCTATTTACCTTTTAAACATGGGGAGACATGAGTGCTGTGATAACATGTACGGTTTGGGGAAGGCAGATTTCCTAAAGGCTTTTCCCAACTGCAGAAGCTTGTCAAATTTTTATATAACATATAATTTTAACTGTCAAAGATTCTGTGAAAGTACATGGAAACAGATCCATGTAATTCTTTAAAAATAAGGTAGTTTAAGAAATTTGTTGTAAAGCATGGAAGAAAATAATAATGGGTAATGAAAACCCACAAACATTTGACTCATGAATATTTTCTTAAATAGATGCCAAGGGAGAAAAAGTCAAATATGCTTAAGAATAAAACATACTAAGGATAGGTAAAGATATACAAGTTTTAAACTATGAAAATCTTCTAATGCAAATGAATTCAATACTGAATGACTTTTCCACAGAGACAGTCCTCCATGCTTTCCTCCTTGCCATGGAAACGTTCTAATTAAATTGAAATTTAAATCATAACCAAATCCAAATGCCTAATAAAGTCCTTTCATTACTCTGTTGTTCTTCAATCATGTTTTATACTCCATCTGGCATTTTACAGATATTATTCGACTGGAATACTCATGTATCCAAATGTATATTTTAATTTTCTTCCTATTTAAGTGTCTTAAGTTTCTATAGGAAGCAGGTCCTATACAGGTTCTTACGGTTTCCACACTGGAAACTGAATGAAGCTGAGTGTAGGATGAACACGGCAATCAAAGAAAGTTGCTAAAGGAGACTATTGTTTAGAAAGAGATAAATTTGAGGACAAAAGGTAAAGTCAGACAGTTGGCAGAAAGTCTCCAGACTGAAGGGTTTCAATGTCACCTTATAAACAATGGGTAGTTACTGGAAGTCCTTGAGCAGAAAAGTAACAAGAGGAAAACAGTATTTTAGGAAAACACACTTTAAAACATAAGCTGTAGGAGAGAAAACCAAGGTAGGAAATAAGTAGTGCCCAACAGAAAAAACAAACAAACAAAAAACAGTGAAAGCAAGGGATCACCAAAAAAAAAAAAAAAAAAAAAAGAAAAACACAAAAAAAAAAAAAAAAAAAAAAAAGGAAGACACCTAAGAGCCTGTAATGTTAATCAACTGAAAGTGGGAGAAGAATGAAGAACCTAAAATGCCTATGATATTTCAAGGTTAAGTAACTTGGGACAACAGTGTATTCCCTGGGCAGAAAAAGAAAGCAGGAGCTAGTCTGAAGTAGAAAGTGACATGGGTAGCTTGACATGTTGCCTTGAGATTTCAGAAGACTCCAAATACAGAGAGAGGTTCAGAGAAAAATTAGCACTAGAAATAGATCTAAGAGATAAAAGCTGGAGTTACCAGTTCACCACTAACAGAACATAGAGACAAAGCAGATGAAGGGTCAGATCTTACAATTTGGGACAGGAAAAAAGACCATGAAGGTATTCTCAGGATACAGTGGTCACTTCTTGGTATCTCTGGGGATTGGTTTCAGGACGCCCTGCACATACCAAAATCTGCATATACTCAAGTCCCACAGTTGGCCCTGAGAAACCTGCCTATACAAAAAGTTGGTCCTCAATATACTCAGGTTTTGCACCCTACAAATACTGTATTTCAGATCCACATATAAGTGGACCCACACAGTTCAAACTTGTGTTGGTCAAGGGTCAACTGTATATGTAGGAAGGAGAAGTATCACTGTGGAAGTGATGGGAAGATAAAAGAAAATATAATTGTCACACAGAGGACAAAGAACATGAGAACGGAGAACAAACTCACATCTGACCAAAAGAGAATGTCTTATATTACACTGGTGGAAGAAGCAGCCTCAGAAATTACAGAATATTGACGGAAAAGTGGCTATTACAGAAGCAGGTATAAGGGGCTCCATGTCTGAGAATGGAAGATAGGATTGTAGTAATAAATAAAGGATCAGTGAAAATTTTCAAAAAAAAAAAAAAAAAGGAACTAGTCATAAATTTTTTTCTTCAATTAAAAAGTTTTAAAAAATTTTACTTATACATAAATATAAAACATATATACACACATATAGTTAAAGACTTTGTAGCTACCATTTTTAAGTGCAGATTTCTGTTATTCTTAGCATCTACAGATACATGTCCTAATGCATGATTCAGTAGCAGCTTTTCCTATCCTTTAAACATTTCATATTCTAAGGAGCAAAATTCTCAGAGATATCTTTATCAATCTCCTTTGGAAAATAACACCCCCCCCCCACCACACACACACACACACACACACACACACACACACACGTACACACACACACACGTACACACACACATAAATAACCTCTTTAAAGGCATCAACTTAAATAAACTCCTTAGTAACTGTTGAAACTTGCCAAGCCATACATTTTTTTTTAGTAAGTCACTATCATGATGAAAAGAAATTCAGTGTTATGAAGTCTATTAAGCAGACTTAAGCTTTCATTTATTCCATTTGATGAAGTTAATTTGAGAGAAAAATAGACCATTTGTATGTTATGAAAACAACAGATACTCCTTTGGATTTCATAGATCACAATTAAGAGAGAACTATTAATTACAGAATGCTGATTAGAATGTATTTCATTTTTAAAGATACTCCTTGAGCCAGAGAAGGGCTGAAATGTTTTCTTTAAGGACTAGCAGAACCATGATAAAGACTATAATCCCAAGAAGGAAACAAATTACTTCAAAGTTAGCAAACATGATGTAAGAAAACAGAAAGTGGGATCATTCATCTGGGACATATCACTAGAGAAAGATAAAACTGAGAGGCTTTCTTTGTCTTAATTGTATATGAATAATATACTAATTATATTTGTACATTTCTAAACAGAAATATGGGCCACCAAACATTTTAACATACATTATCCCATTGATTCTCACAATAACATTGTCATATAGTAAAGGGATTCTTCTTTTCTTCTCTGTGAAGAAACCAGACTGAAAAAGGTTAAGTAACTAGCTCAAGATCATAAAGCAAAGCTGAGTTTGAAAACCAGGTGGGTTCCCAAAACTTGGACTGGAGTTTCTTCAACCAAATAATGCTGACCACGAAAAGGAGTCAAGGAGAAGATCCAACTGGTAAAACAAACAATCTGGATGAGGTAAGAGTTCCAAAGTTGAGACACAAAAGTTGTTAAAGGAAACTAAACAAGTTTCTTGGATAAAATGCTAAGTTATAAGAAGCTCTGGCTGAAGAGCAGGAAGACATATCTGCTGACTTCTCAGACCACTACTATTATTAATTTTCTAGAATATTTTTATTTATTCTCTT